GCTTGGAATGATGAAAACATTTGTACCTTAATAACTTACCTCTATGACATTTCTTGAAACCTAAATTTAAAATTACCTTACAGAAAAAAAAATGCTGTCCATATTCTTCTAATTAATCTTTAGAGGACTGATTTAGTATGATTATTGCTAATGCTTCATATTTATCCCATAATGTGTTTAGGTTAGCCATCTGTTGGTTTCTCCAGTGTTTACTGTAGATGGTGGCATTTTGGGCAGGTCACAAATAATCTTCTTCCTTAGGAGGGAAGTTGGATGGTGGCTGATAGAGGGAATTTCTGTACAGGGGTTGAAGTATTTGCAGGTGGATTATCACAAGGCACAGTTCCTTTTAAAAGTTTGCTAGATGAACAAATCGTATTGTGGACCAAGCACTCTTTTAAGTTCACTTCTACTGTTCTACTGTAAACAAAGTTAGTGATGGAGTTTTAAAATTAGAAGTTGTGGCCAAAACATCTTGAAACTACTGATTTTTAATCATATAAACCGTGCGGAAAGAGAAAACTTTCTTTTATTTTTTCAGCCTAGGATAGGGAAACATATACATACAGAACAGCTACAAAGCAAAGAAAAAGCATATTTATTTTTGGAATTAATATGTTTGTTGAAATGTTTTCTTGAAATATTGCTCCAATGAAAATGCAAGTTTACAGTGTTCCCCCTTGAAAGTTTTCAAAAGATCTGAAGGATGGTCAAAGAAACATTTAGTAAAAATTGCCATTTGTTTGTCAGGAGGACATCAGGTCATGCATCATCCTGTTGCAGAGACAGCCTTGCGCACACATGACTAAGGGCCACGGCCATTTCAAATTACAGAGCAGAGATGAGAGGATCCAAAATAATCCATCCCAAGTGCCGTGACAAGCAAATTTTTAATCTGGAGCTGAGATGGGTAAAAATGTCAGTCTACCTGTCGGAAAAGATAAATTAATCTGCTAAGAATTTTCCTTAGTTACATCCAGCAAAGACTTGTAAATCTATTAGGATCGAGGCAAGACTTCTGTGTTATCACTCCAAACTTTTAGACAGCTTCATTTACTGCTATGGATACCTGAAGTGACAGGGAATATATTTCCAGCAACTGTGATTTTGTTTTTCCTAACAAGAGCGCAGAGCCTACAAGCACGGCATATACATTTCACTCTTGAAAATGAAAAAAGAAGATAGTTTGGTAAGTGTCAAACAAGACTAGCTGCAGTCATTCAAGCTATAGAGAGACATCAATAAAACGGTTTATAGAGTGTTTCTCACTACACTACGAGCATTAAGGACAAAATGCTGAAAGAAAGCCTTTGTACACATCATGTAGAAGAGGCAGTTCCCATTTGAAGGTTTAATGCCTGCTGTCTGGCAACTCATGCAAAAGTTGAACCAAATTTTTAAGGTACTCATTTGGGGCTCAGCGGTGTTGGAGTGATGTTCCTTCTGCAACGCATGGAGCACATTGTAACAATAGACTTTCATCTTGACGAGAAGGATCTTGAGCAAATGTGTCAGAGGATTACTGAGTGTTCTGCAAAACCTAAAAAGTAGCAACAAGCGAAAAGATTGTTTAAATTCAGAAGAGCAGCTGCCAAAGCTCTAGATCCGTCATTTATCTTGTTACTGATATATCAAATTCACTTCATGGTGTAGTCATAAAAATGTATGAGAATGTAAATGCCTGAGTGACCCATTAATCTTGTTTAAAGTAGCAAATGTAACATGTTACTCATCCAGGGTGATAAACTTATTCTTTATACTTTTATGAAGGATTTATCGTAGATGTAAAAGTGTTCGGCATAGCATTGTAATGTGTAAATGGGGACAGCCATTACAAGGCTGTTGTGAGTGAAGCTTATTTCATCATGGTAATCTCGCAAAACGCACACTGGGTTTTTAAACGGCACAAAAGATTTTTGGTAGAACAAATAAGTCTATCAATTCAAAACATCTTTGTCTTTCTTGCTGCATATTCCTTAAACCTCACACTAAATGACAAAGGGTTATAACTATCTTTCAGGCAGAAGATGCTATTAGTCCACAAAATATTTATTGTTACTGGTTGTTATTATTTATTATGTTTGTAATGTGCTGTCTGCATTGTGTGATGTTGTCTGTTGTACTGTGTTGTCTGTTGTACTGTATCCTGAGAGATTGGCGCAAACGAGAATTCCAATGTACATGTACATATCACAATAAGCTCCTCTACTCTGCTAGTAATAGTAATAGATCTATTGAGGCGAGCTGTTCCAAAAACTAATGTAATCTTTTTACAACACAGACCTTTAAACATCACCTCTAGTTACTAAACTAACTATTGCATTTTTATTTCACTGTGGCTATTTGGTTCAGTTTGGCCCCAAATTTAATCTGAGTTTTAACATGTATTCTGGAGTCCACTCATGATTAAGTACGCAGCTTGGAATGATGAAAACATTTGTACCTTAATAACTTACCTCTATGACATTTCTTGAAACCTAAATTTAAAATTACCTTACAGAAAAAAATGGCTGTCCATATTCTTCTAATTAATCTTTAGAGGACTGAATGAAAGCATGTGAATGAAGTTTGTAATTGCTTTGGCAATAGAAGGCACACAAATTTAACTTATCACTTGTAAGAAGGTTAATTCTGCTTGTCAGTAGAATAAGGTGATGAAGTTATGATTAATACACAGGATGTTTGAAAACGTAAATCCTTGATAAAACACAAATAAACCAAAAAGGTTTCTCAGGATGATTAAATGTACATTTCACAGTTGATTGAGCATGCTAAAAGTCATCTATTTTCTTACGACTCTGTAAACAGTTATGTGAGTCCCCTTCCGGCAAAGTATATGGCCATTGTCGGAGGTTTATACTTTCAAACGGACCGTTGAAGAAAAATGACTGCATTAATTTATATAACCGCTGGGATCTTTTGATTAGGTAATTTATATGGAGGACAGGTTTATAACGGCTAACTTACCGTCATGTCCCGCAACAATTATTTCAAAAATCCAGCTATAAAAGCAGACAGTAAATTTTAGATTTTTCTATTGCTGTCATTGCAGCTCATAACCTCGTATCTGATTTTCAATAAATCCTTTTTTATGAAATGGAGAGCAATTACATCATCGCGGTGAGTATCAGAATTGATACACCAAAGACAAAAGTTCGTTTTTTTTTTCTTTGTGGAAGGACAGTGTACAATTTTCTTTTCTTAGCAACTTAATAATAACTTAGATTGTCGTATTTTTAAATGTTTCGATTTTAAACAGGACATGACATAAACACTGCTGTATAATTTTGAAATAGATCCAATGGAAATCCCCTTCAAGTATATATTTTTTTGCTTTTGTTTTGAACAGATCTTGATGATGCTAGGCAAGTTCCGAGGCAGATGGTTTTGCATATACAGTACGTATGGATTTGACAGACACACTGTATCACCGTGGCAACTGGGGATATACTGAACACACCTATGCACTCAACGTTCTGTGACGTCGATGTACTGTACAGTGGGTTCGGACGAAATCTACAGTACGTGTCCAGTCAGATTCCAACAGTCTTGACAAACGTGTAATTGTCTCTGGGAGGTTTTAACGCCAAACAGTGTAAACTACCGAATGGAATGCTACAGTAAGTGTGGCTCTTAGATGTCATCATCATTGTTATTATAACAGAATATTAGCAATTGACTAGGTACTGTTTTTGAACATCACCGCTTTAATAATGGAAGTGGTCTTTGAAGCAATAAATGTATGTACATACTAAAGAATTTGCATTCTATTACCTTGCTTTGCATGGCATTAAACATTTATTGCTCCCTTCGGCTACGGTCTTAATAATAGGATGAAATGCAATGATGTGACATGAAGTCATTTTCCCTGTTGCTGTTTTAGGGTGCCCCAGATAGATGAATGCTCTTGGATAACATGCAGCAGACCGACAAAAGCTCCCATTTCTTTTATTTTTAGGTGACTAATTACTGCACATGGTCTCTAGACATGTCCACCTTAAACAACAATGACTGGAAATCTGTGGATCAGCTGTTGATAAAGAGTTTCCTCCACTTTTTTTAAAAAAAATCCTACAAGTTTCTCAGACTGGGGTTGCTCTGACTCAGCTAAGTGCCATCATATCTCAAAAATATGGTGTGGTTTTCAACTGCGGTTTTCTGACAGAATACCGGAATTCTATTTAGGTATTATTTCTAAAAATATAAAAGATGCCACAGGTGAATTTTAACACTGACGGAAGACAATTTGACAAATTTACTTTGAGGTGTTTAGGAGTTGTTGTTTTTTTTTTACAGAAAGCCTAAAACCCAATTTGTCAGAAGAGAAAAACAACCAAAATCGGGAGGAGTAATGCAAGATCGATAGACACTCCAGTTTTGAAACAAACCACCAAACAGGCTAGATGAGACCAATGGCCTCGTCTTGTTTGTAGCTTTTCTTATGTCCTTATGAATTCATCTCAATCAAAAGACATTACAGGGCTCCACAAACTGTGAAGTATGAAGCGTGATTGTGTGATACTGGGCAATCCTAATTTAGTTCAGAAAAGATACAGGCTGTGGAGTAAAATGAACATTTTAAATTATTCAAACTGCAAAGCTTCTCTTGTGCTTGTAATGCCATGTGTGCCACAGCATTGTACTCAAAGTACTTTGAGGTAGCTGGAGGATGCCCCCTAATTGAAGCAAATAAGCAAAATGTACAAGGAAACAAAACACTTTCTGAAACGCTTGAAAGGAACAGAACCAACACAATCCCATTTAAGAAAAGTTGCACCTTAGAAAGGCCAAGAGAGAAAAAAGAACGTTGCAATGGAAACGGATGTTTTTTTCAGTGTTTAAACAAAAGAACAGGAAAAAGATGAGGAGCCTCCAAGATGAAATAGGAATGTTTTAATGATGAAACGCAAATGGCTGGTGTATTAAATAAATCTTTCACACAGGTGTTTACAAAGGAGGAAGAAGGCCACATGGCTCAGGCTAAAGCAAAGACAAAACGTTCTGCGTTAAGCAGTTTTAGCATAGAAGAGGCTAGAGGTACCGGGTACTGGACTGTTGCATTTTAAATAAACAACTTCCAAAGCATGGTAGTATTGTACCAGTCGTACGTAGGATACAAGCATTATAATTCATAGGACATGAGCACAGCTTTTTGAACAGTCACTCAAGACAGGGTCAATACCCACTGACTTGAACACTGTTAATGTAGCACACACCCATAAGCAGTGTGACATAACTGAACCAAATAATAATTAACCAATACATTTTACTTTCTGTATATCACATGCATGGTAATGGAAATAACAATTAAAACTAAACCTAATTTATGCAAGTACAGTGTGTTACTGCAGGTTAAAAAAATTGAGTAAGTTTCTTATGAAAATTGAGTTTGTGTGGAGTACTATACATCATTTACACATTCTAGACAATTTGAGGAAGTATTAAAAATGCAAACAAAATGTTAGGATGTGAAGTTAAAAGTGTAGAATTAAGCTCAAATGATGCTATGTTGAAATGTACAACACAATAGTATCACCTCATATTTAATATTGTCATTTTGCACAAAAAAATTCTCATTGTGGCCAAACAGTTCAAGTTTGGCTAATGTGTCCAGAGAACATTCTTCTAGTAGTCTTGTGGTTCTCACAGATGCTCTTTGGTGAAGTTAAGAGTTCTCTTCAGCACTGTACAGTGGCATTCTGCAGATGTGGCAGAAAACGAACACTGCCTTCCAACAGAAAAACCCCATCCCAACATCAAGCATACTGGTCTGAACATCATGTTTTGATGCCAGACAGCTTCCCAGTCTTTGACAGAACTGTGCACTCAGTGTTATACCAGCAAATTCTAGGACATCCATTCATCAGCCTAAGCTGAGCAGAAAGTGGGTCATGGAGAAAGACAATGATTCTAAAACATAAGTTGATCTTCTACAGAATGGCTGAAGGTGAAGAAATGTCACATTTTGGTTTGGAGAGCCAAAGTCTGGAGACTTAAATCTCATTGAAATGTTATGGCAGGACCTGAAGCAAGTTGTTCATGCAAGGAAACCTTCAAAAGTCACTGACTTGCAGGAGTTCTGTAAGGAAGAATGGTCTACAATTCATTCCTGAAACCCTTCTGGAGAGACTGATCATAACAATGACAGGAAACATCTAGTCAAAGTAATTGGTGTTCAAGGACTGTGCATAAGAGGTCATGACATTTGTTTTAGCACAGTTTTTATCTTGGATCATACCAAGCACTAGAAATGATTCTAAAATGAATGTCATGTGACCTCTTAGGAACAAGTACTGTAATAGGTTTATTCCATACTGAAAAAAAATTAGAAAGAAAACACAACGTTTCGGCCATGGAGCCTTCTTCAGGTGTGAGAAGAAGGTGAGGTGAAAAAGTCTTGATGGTCTTGTTGAAGAAGGTGAGAAGAAGAAGAAGGTGTGAGGTCTTCTCACACCTGAAGAAGGCTCCACGGCCAAAACGTTGTGTTTTCTTTCTTCTTTTTTCAGCATGGAATAAACCTATTACTTGTTCTTTTGCAGCCTATGCATGCTGACGCAGCTCCCCACCTGAACTATGTGACCTCTTATGCACACATAATGGAATTTGTGCATGTCCCCATAAAGCATTATGCATGTGATTATAATGTTTTGTGTAGCAGTTATGAAGGGATTATGAAGCCATTATGCAGTGGCATTTAAATACAATGTTACAACACAGCTTTTCTGAAAAGATTCCATAAAACATTTAATGTCTTAATTTAAAGTACAGAAGTCGAAAGGTAGTTTTACAGATGTCAACACAAAAAAATAACAGCAACTTAAAGTGCACAACCAACACAAAAATGTACCAGGAGAAGGAACATGTATGTTAGAAGCTAAAAGGAGGGTAGCAATGACTAATGATCTGTAAAAACATGTGAACAGGAGTTGGTTAGAGCTATGATTAAAATTAATTATGGAATGAAAAACAAATTTAATTCTCAACAAATTCAGATTGTTCCTAAAACACTCAGATTCAAATGTTCAGATTAATTTGTACCCTTTTTTCTCGAAAACGCCTTTCATCAAACCGCACAAAGAAGGAAAATATTGCCATCGATGGCATGTCTCCTCAAAACTGAAAATAAAAACATTCTTCAAACAATTGTCATCCTGTAATCCATTCAATTACAGAATGTAGTTAATTTGTTAAAAAAATGTGTTTTGCCTTGGTTAGAGTCCTATACCCTGACTCTCACTGATGGGATTGTATGCTATAACGAATGAGTGCCAGAGGCTGGGTTTTTAGGACAGGTTGTCCCTTTGGTATCCTCTGTCTGAAAGTAATTATTCTGAGAAATTTAGTTCTTTTTATTTTACCTTTTATTGATCCAGTCCTGTAGCTGTAACAGTTTGGATGGTATGTGGTCTCAGAAGGCAAGCTTGGTGGGGGATGAATCAATACATTGGGCAGTCAGTAACCGTGGCAGGCTGCATCTTGACATCACCCTGGAGCTGTAACTTTTAGCAAGATGTGTACAGTACTTGGATTTGTGGCCTATAATTGCCTACATAATGATAGTACCTTGCGTCCTGACTCCCTGTACCACATAAGCCAAGAACTATTTCATATAGGAACAAAAGGTTTTAGGTTTTGTGAGAAAGAGTGTTGTGGGTTCTGTTTTGTCATAAGCTTATTCTATTTAATGTCTGAATTAACAAATACTTATGTTTGAAATTACTTTTTAAAATTAGATTGAAAGGTCTACAACCACACTTTACAATAGGGTTATTCAGGACTAAAACATTAAAATATTGACAAGACCATTCAGCCAATTGTTTCTTTAACAAATTCAATTAACGCAAGGCACATATATATTATGGATATTTGTATTATTATGTGTGCATTTTTAATGAAGTAAATATGAAAGGGTTTACATGAGAAGGTTAATCAGAATTGTTCTGAACTCAAGCTACTGGTAACCAATAAAGATGCTTTTGTTCACTAGTTAGCTGTACAGTATCCATAAAATCATACCTATTTTAAAAATTTAGACAATTGTTCCTTTGGTATGAACATGATGAACCATTATAAAGTGACAGAGCTCTTGTAAAATATTTAATTCCTAACAGGAGTGCTCTGTGTAGATTGGTTCATTTAACAGAAAGTGTCTTTTTTAATGTAATTGTTACAGTTTGATATTGTCTTGTATGAATGTAATGACAGCATGCTACTTTTAGGGAGAGATACAGCCCAGGAATAATGAAACAATTACAGCCTTTGATGTTAACAGACTCTGCACCCTCTTGCATTTTAAAGCAGACCGCCTTATTAACTCTAAATATGTTCATAGCTGTCAAACAAGTTTTCCTGCAACACTTCTCTGAAGGGGAAAAAATAATTTTATCATTATGAGCAATCTGGCTAAAAGCTTGTGAAGCCCTCTCATGGTGTCTCACTTGTATCTTCAGATATGTTTCAAAGCTGCAAGATATTGAAAGAATTTTCAACCTTTTAATCACAATTTACTCACATCAGCTTTTGCTCTGCCAGCGCACACAATAAAGAATATTTTTTCCCTGCTTCATGCAATCATTTTTTGTACATCTTTAATGTTTTTTTGCTGTGAAATTGCATTCAAAAATACATTTCACAAATTATTTTATGACTCAGCAGTTATCTGATTAACCAGATGCCAGGCAACAGGTGTCTGACAGAGTAAACACATTACTAATTATAGGGTGATAAACTTTGGCTGTTATCTGAGTTCTGTATGTCTTTCAGAAGCCACACCAGACACATCAAATATTAGCTTAGGGCTTACTGTATGTAATGATGAACTACAATGCACAATGCTCCATGATTGGCATCTCTATGAAATAAAATACTATGAACATTTCGGTGTGGCACAATCTAGAAGTATGCTTACAGACAGGTGAATGGCTACTCAATGACAGAATGACTCCATTTTCTGTTAAAGTCAGTTATAGTGACAAAAACAAGGAGTGCAAGAAAATGGGTCATTTATTTTTTATGTTAATGTTGTATTGAGAAAGGAGAAGAGAAATGATTAGTCTAATATTATAATACAGTTATTATATATTTAGCAATATGAGCCCTATATTTTTTTTGTATTGTTCCTGGAGCTTTTGTGTCTCTTCTCGACTGGGAGAGGGTCTGGAATGTAATAGGCCTATAGCTTTGTGTTTTGTATTTTGGCAAATATAGAGTATTAAATTGCTAAAATTCTCTAGTCCAAAACTGTTTTTTATTAACACATCTGAATGCTCAGGTTCACCATAAGTAAGCCCTTTTTGTTGTATACTAAATCCTTTAATAATACTTTATGCTTTGTGCTATACTATTCAATACTAATTTCTATGCAAATTGAAATGTTGTTTTAGGATACTGGGGCATAAAAGTCTAATGACCAATTCCTTATCCATGATACATAACTCCAACACAGTATATAGCCTGTCTTCAACATGTTTTTAATTATAATCTAATAGATACATACAG